TATAAAAGGAACTATGTGATCAAGTACATATCTTAGATTCTGTTAGAGATATTACGTTTTGGAATAAGTAATTATATTTAAGATTGAAGTAGTTCTTTTGATGAAAAGAATGATAATCTCAAAATAAGCGCACTATATCACCTTCTCTCAACAACATTGATTATTCGTGGGTTTATGATGCATTTCATTATTCTCTCATCAAGTGTCAATTTTTTTATCAGAACAAAAGTTTGCATTTTTATTTACATACCGTGCATAATCTTTTGGGATACCTATCATATTTTATCAAATACATCTGAATAACTATAATTCTTCCACTCATTTTCTTGTCAATACTGATATTTAAATATTTCTTTCATTTTATAAATGATGCTTGAGCAGACAAGGTTTTGCAAAAACGCGTGTAAACACGAAGAAATTCGTCTTTTTGGATGCTAACACGACGAAATATTTTCAATTGATAGAAATAGGCGTGTAAACGCTCTTTAACTGAAATTTTGAATTTTTTTTCATGAACTTATTCTAAATAAACGAAACTAAATGTAGAGTAAATATAACGAAAACCTTATACCCTCACACACACACCCACACCCTATATTTTATTAAAACTTTATAAAGTTATAACAAGAACAGATAAGATCACAATAATATTAATTATACTTTCAGTATTCACTAGATCGACTACGGTTTGCTGCTTGAGTGATATCTATGAGAATAGATTGTATACTAGGGTGATTCGATAGATGGATTGATTGATAAATAGTTAGAGATTTAATCAAGTATTGAAGAGCATCAGTATATAATTTCATTTCGAGATAAATTGAGCCAATCGTGTACAGATCATCGGCTTCAAGTGATTTGTTCTGTTGTTCGATTGAGACCTGTTGTTGAATTTTAAGAGCTTGACTAGCATGATTGAGAGCATCTGTTAGATTTCCAATTTTTCTGTTTAGTGTCGTTAACTTTCGATGAGAATTTGAGATTAAAGAAACATTTACTTCTATTGACTTTTGACTAATTTTAAGTACTTCATTATAAAGGCGTATTGCTTCAGCAGGTTCTGACGATTCGTAATGAGAGGCAACCATAGCAATCGTATATGAAAAGAATGAATAATGATTATCTGAAGTTTTCATAAGCTTTTGAGTATATCTACTAATCAATGCACTAATGTTTGATGTTTGATTCATTTTTATTTGAATACGTATGAGATCATCAAAAGATTTAATCAATTGTGGATGATCTATTGGTAAGGTTTCTTCACTTTGATTTAACTGACGGTAGAATAATTTCATTGCTATACTGAAATTATTTGTCGTTTCATAAACAATTCCAAGATGTCCCATAAGTTCAATGACATATGGATGTTTATCTGATAGAACTTTTTTATAAACTTTTTGAACATTTGTTAGATATTCTAATGCTTTTGATGAGTTACCAGCTTGTAAATAAGTTAATCCAATACTTTCATTTACTTTTGCTTTAGTAACATGATCATAGTCTTTTGTATAGATTTGTTCATAAATATTCATTGCTTCTTGATGACTGTTAAGACTAGCTTGAGTGTCAGATGTTGTCATTTGAAGAATACCAATATGATTATGAAGTGAACCCATTCCTAAAAGATTTTCACGAACACGTTTACGACGAATTTCAAGGGCTTGATTATAATCATGAAGTGCCATCGTATGTTCATTATTTTTTTCGTACAAAATACCTCTTTGTTCCAAAATGTCTGGGATATCAACATGATCCGATGAATAATTCAATAGTAATTGACCAAAATATCGAATTGCTTCATTTTTCCTTACAAAACCATGTCCTATTATAATACCATAGATAATAGCATACGAATGATTCTGAATGAATGTTTCTCGGATGGCAGAAAGATATGGTTGTTCTTCGATAAAATTTCTAGATACAGCCGCTAATTTTATATCCCAAAGATCTATATCTGAATCGTATTTAACAGAGGTAACATTAAAAACGGCACCATAGTCAAAGAGAGTCTCTTCTTCATCAGAATAGATTGCGTGATTACTAATTTCCGCAAACGCAGTGATATTTTGTAATGACGTATTGAGAGAAATTTCAACAAGTACTCGTTGTAGATGATTTTGTGAAAGCTTACGTTCACTGAATTTAAGTCCCGTACTCCTTTTAACTGAAGTGGAAAAGAAACCATTAACGGCAATAACAGTACCTACATTCTGTTCTAATCGTTCTACTTCCATTAATGGTAATACCTGTCCACTAAATAATTTAATTATTGAGTTTGAACCAGATTTAAATTTCGAAGCAATAGTTCCGTATTGTTGTTTTTGATTGATGTATTCTTCATTAGTTGTATTACTAAGATCTGCGATAAAAAAACGAAAGGCAGAGACTACCTCCATATCTTCACTGCGTAATGCTTTATTGACTAGCTTATGAACAAAAGAATCCTCAGTATACCATCTAATAGCTGCTGCGGATGTATATGTAGTACGAAATCGATTAATATTCTGTAATTCTGAATATTGTTTAGAATAATATTCTTGACTTTTTTGAAGCATTTCTTCTTTTGCTTGTTCATCGCAAGGTAAACTTTTGATTATATCAAGATAAAGTTGATACCAGATCTGTACGGTGGTCATTTGACGAACTGGTCTTGACCATGCCTGTAATTGATCCAGAGGATTCGTCGGAATTTTAACATTATCACCTACTATAAGATACATTGTTGCACGAATTGTGTCAACAAGAAGTTTTGGATCATTAAAAATACCGAATAGTTTGTCATGTGTTAAAGTCTGATAAGTATCTGAATTATGACAAAAGATAAATAGAGCTGCGATATCATCATTCAAATCATAGTAAGTTAGTGTTTCGAATAAAAGTGTTGCTTTTTGGCCTGAAACGACAATTATCAAATTTTTTTCAGTATACTTGACATGATTAATAACAAAAATGGCATTGCCAACATATGATTCAAAGTGGACCGAAGATAAAAGTTGACGAAATAATTGCTGTGTCTCATAATTATCATTTGCAAATTCTTGGATATTATCATCAATCCACAGTAATGAAAAATCTTCGTTAAACATAGTTGATGAAATTGTGTTTAAATGACGAGCACTTTGTATACTAAACAATAATAATAAATTTTATTAAACTTCATTCTCTTATCAATGTAAATACGCACTTTTGAATCGAAATACACCAGATCAACACAAATATGACAAATGTATTGATGAAAGACATTTTTATCATTTTATGATAGAGAAAGAGAACGTTGAATGTGAAATAGAATCTGAAATACGAAAAAAAAAGACAGTTATTCTGGAGTTTTTCATATAAAGGTAAGCGTAAATGCATCAGTTTGTCTAGAAAAAAGAACAAAAGAGCAGTCTATTCAGATATCAATTCTCACGCATTCCTAGAATTTCATCTCATTCAGCCAAGATGACACCCACCTTTTTAATCTGTTCATATCTCATTTAATCGATTATACACGGTAAAAAAGAGATCCATGCTACTGTTTATCGCATGTAAATGTCGTTTTAAAGCAGAATTTGATCTTTAAGTTACTCTATAATAGAAAAAAAATCTACTTATTTTATCGAATAAACTTATTCATTAACGTACAAGGTTCGAGAAAGAATTGTATTTGGTAGCGTCTTCACCAAATCTATAATTATTACAATTAGTCATTTAATTAATTAGAGTATAACAGTTTATTTATTCAGGCATAGTCCAATTGGAATGTAATTATATAAAATATAATAACAAATCTACATGAATATTCATTCATGGAACCTGATTTAATAAGCATAAGTTTTCAAATAATTCAGTTGTATATATAGTGACAGCTTTCAATACAAAATACCAAGTATACTCATTTTTCAAGATCTTATAAAGTAAATAAGTGATTAATCATGCTACAAGTATCTATATCTTCTTCAGGTAGATCATCAAATACTATAAGGATACAGACTAAAAAAGATTCTGGAGAGAAGTTTTTTGCACAAATCTATTATTCTATATTAGAATGTAGCTGATGATAAGAAAAAAATGCGATCAATATTACCTGTTTTTATATCAATTATATATCCTTTTATGATTACTTGAAAAAAATTTCTTTATTCTTTATTTTAACTTTATATACTAAAATAAAGTTGGTTTTTTCCAACAAGATGATGTCATGATCATCATACGATTCACACGTAATAGACATGTTAAAAGAAGAAAAGAGAAATATCAAACAAAAGTACCAAACGCACTGTCTTGAGTTGTTATGTAAGTGAATAGAAATTAGTCATTGAAATGAGTTATTTATGCTATTGCCTCGATATTCTTTCCTACCATTTTGAATTTGTGGATGTGAAGATCCAACACTCACATCCTCACCCACACGTTGGATATTGTGTAGATTGCATTTTAGGATTTATTAATGTCATAAACTCCCTGAAAAAGGGTTTCTGATAATATGTATTAACGAAAATGAGAATTTGTTATTTTACTCTTTTTTTTAGTTTATGTTGATTAAGAAATAAGTGTAAATTGTATGATTCGATATCATTGATGACATTTTCCGTTTGTTACACTTTATTTTGAAATTTTTTTGATTGTTCAGATGATTTGGCCACTCTGATACACATGTATTAATTTATAGTAGGATTTTCTGATGTTATAACAAGAAAACGGCCTAAAGCTTCAAAATTCCAGTTCACAATTAGTGACATCTTACAAATAATAATAAAAAATTGACGCCTTATTCTATTATTTATGATTATGTTAAAAAATGGCTTTCATTTGTTTGTTCTCTTTAGTACATTTCATAGAATAATAATAATATAAATGTTTCTCTTATTTTGCTCGCTAGTTACTAAATTTACATAGTAGATGTCACTATATGGAAATCAAAATATTTTTGTTGTTGTTCTTTTCTTGTAGAACATGATTCATCCGATTATATTTATTATTACTATGATTATTATTATGTTCTGTCAGGAAGAAGAACGTATTTGATTCACTATAATTATTTTATTTTATTTTTTAGATATATATAGGAATTGATCAGTATTAATTTATTATCATAAAAAGAAATGAATCCATCAATGGAACCACAAGCATTTGGTGCCGGTCGAGCCGGATCGACATTTGATCCTATTGAATTTATTAAAAAACCACAGGTTATTCTACGACTTGTTGCATGGGTATGTAATAATGAAATTTTTTAATTTTCTTTAATTATATTAATAATTAATTTTTTGAAAAAGGTTTTTGCAATTATTGTATTTGCATGTATTGCCCAAGAAGGATACGCCGATAATGTATGTCGTTATAATGGTTCAAATGCTTGTGGATATGGTATTGCAATTGGTGTTATAGCATTTCTTTTAACAATGGCATTCATGGGACTTGATGTTTATTTTCCTAATATCTCAAATGTAAAAACTCGTAAAACAGTTGTTGTTACAGAATTAATTACATCAGGTATAATAATATAAATAATTAGTTTATAAAACGGTTGTTTATTTTTCTTAGGTGTTTTGGTTTTCTTATGGTTTATTGGATTTTGTTATTTGGCTGATCAATGGCGACAAGAAAACAATAAAGATAAATTAGGATGGAATGGTCGTAATAGTGTTCAAGGAGCAATTGCTTTTGCATTTTTCTCAATTTTAGCTTGGGTAAGAATATTTATTTGATTTAATATAAATAATTGAAGTTTATATATATAGGCTGGAGTAGCATTTTTTACATTTCGTCGTTATCGTGAAGGTGTTTCAAATTTATTTAGTTCAGGTTATGAAGATCATTCAACCGGTGCCGGACAAACATATGGTGCATACCCACCCGCAGGTGGTTCAGGTAGTTTCTCTCAACCACCATTTACAGCAACTCAACAAGCACAATCAAATTATCAACCACCCACATATTAAATTATATCTTCTTTAGAGATCTATAAATGAATGATTTTTATGTGTGTCTTATTTGTAGTATTTTCCTCATTTCTTATTGTTTTGTCTTGTGAATCTCCTATTGCATAGTCTCGAAATATTTTCTTCTTATTGGGATCAAAACATAAAACCGTGACAAAATTTTTACCTCTACTTCCTTGAGAATCAAAATTGAAATGATTATAATTAAGTTTCAGATTACTGAAAGTAAAAAAAACCAAAAAACACTCGGCTTAAGTCAGATGAGTGTTAGAATGATCAAAAAAAAAGAATTCCTCCGAATATATGATCTTTTCATTTTCGTTTTTTTTTTTTTGTTGTTGTTGTCTAATTATTAATTGTACTTCTAATTTATCAATATATTTTTTTTTTCGTGTTTTTGTTATAATTTATTCGCAAACAAAAGAAAAACTTCTTTGCATTCCCTTGTGCATTCTTTATTTGTTGTTGTTATTGTTGTGAGGGTATTTTTCCTTTTTATATGTTATTCAATTATATATATGTGTTGTTACTTTGTCACGTATATTCAGACACGAAATATATAGATTTAAGAAAATGGACAAGAAAAAAAAAGCACAAAAAATTTCGATTGATTTATGTTCTTTTATTTGCTTGATATAAGAAATAATATTTCTTTGCATTGTTGCTCATGCTTGAAGAACAAGGACAAATGACAAACTGACAACTTATGTGTTGATAAGAACAAGATATGTATATATAGTTCCTCTTTCCTCTCTTTTTTTTCCTCCTTTCCTATGCCGTTTTTGCAATTCTTATAAATGACAGAATATTATTGTTTGAGTTTGATAATAAAAGAACAGAACGATTTTGCCAAGTAATTATAACAATCTATCTTCTCGTTTTTTTTTGTGCTTATTTTTTCCGGGCGAATACATATTTTATGAGGCAATAAATAATTTTCCTGTTAACTAGTGACATCTTCTTAAAATAATGAATTGGTTTAAATATATATCGAATGACTCATAGAAGTTCTGCGTGTCAAATAACATTTTCAATTTAATTTATTACAACTTAATTTAAAATAATGGCTTCATCACTAGTAACTAATATAACAAAACCAATTCGAAAAAGACGTTTGAATTCTCCAAATGATCATATAATGATTCTTGTTAAAGAATGGTATAACGATGCCAAAGCGAATGGTTCACAAACAATGCGTTGTTATAAGAAGGTGCTTGGAGTGATAAAAAGATTATATAAAAAAAAAAAACGTTTCTATAAATATTTTCTTTTAATAGGCATTGCAGTCATTAGAAAAATATCCTTTAAGATTAGAAACAGGTTCGGATTGTCGAATTTTATATGGATTTGGTGATAAAATATGTGAAATGATTGATAAAAAATTAAATGTTAATAAAACATTACATAAAACTGTATCAATGTCAAATTTAGATGATGATAGACAAAAACCTAATACAATTATTAATCTTAGTGATAATGATGAAGATGAAACTGCTCCTCCGCCAGCTAAACAACCAAAAATAACGAATGAAAATAAAAGATTTAAGAAAACAAATAGTGCTGGAGCAAAATTATTTAATAATCCAATTCAATCAACAACAACAACGATTTCAGCACTTCTTGGAATTGTTGATTCACCTGTAAAAACAAATTCAATCCCACCAAAATCTGTACAAACATTACCACCAAATTCATTTCATATAACACTCTGTATTGATAATGCTGAAGCATCAAGATCAACACAAAAAGTTCTTCTTGATCATTTAACAAAAAATTCAATTAGTTATGATGTACGAAAATTAAATATTGGAGATTTTCTTTGGACAGTTCGATGTAAATTATTTCTCGTTTCTTTATATTTAATTATTTTTCTTTTATAGCTAATGATAAAAATATTAAAGTTGAAGCTATTCTCGATTATATTGTTGAACGTAAACGTTTAGATGATTTATCGAAAAGTATTATTGATGGAAGATATAACGAACAAAAAGTAAATGTTCGAGAAGTACAATTCAATGAATTTAATTTTAATGTTTTAGTTTCGTCTTAAACAATGTGGTATTACAAATTTAATTTATTTAGTTGAAAGTTTAAAGAATACAAATAATCCGGGAATATTAACACCAGCTGCACTCAATCAAGCCATTGTAAATACTCAGGTAGATGATTTTTCTTTTATGACATTGAGAATTGTTCATATTTCAAGGTTATATTATTATTAGGTAGCTGAAGATTTTTTTGTTCGTGAAGTGTCGAATCCAGTTGAAATGGCTAATTATTTAATTACAATGACAAAATATCTTACTAAACATTTTACAGTAAAATCTTTTTTTTTCTCTAATAAATTTCATTCTAATTATACATATATATAGGATAAGACATTACATATATTAAGTGATACTGATATGAATACGAATTATAAAACATCTTACAATGATCCGAATCATTATGTTATGCCATTTGAATCGTTTAATTCCGGTGTGGTTAAAAGCAAAGTTTGAAATTTAATACTTGTTTTCTTTTGAAAAATGAAAAAAAAAATGAAATTTTATTCCAGCCGCCAACAGTAAAAGAAATGTTTGCTCGTGCTCTTATGCAAATAGCTGGTATGTCACTAGACAATGTTTTAGCATTGACTGAAGTTTATCCAACACCAGCAAAGTAAATAATAATTTAAGAGAAAAAACTCATTTTATAAATTTACATTTAGACTTCTTCAAGCATATAATCAATGTTCCAATGAAAAAGAACGTAAACTTTTGTTATCATCAATAAAGAAAGTTACAAGTAATCGGTAAGAAAATCAATATAAATATTTAATATTTGTTAATTTCTTTTTTTTAATTAGAAAATTAGGCAAAGTCTTGAGTACAACAATTGAAATGCTCTTCAACAATGTTTCATATCAATAAAATAAAAAAGCAACTATTCTTTTTCTTTTTGATGTATATACAGAAGCAAAAAAAAAGTCAGATGAAATATAAACTATTTTTCTTAAAAATTCTCTCAAGTAAAAACAAATGATGAATAAAATCCAATTTATGTTTTAGATTATGCAAGAAGCAAATCGTAATACAGATTTAATAACACAAGCACATCGAATATTAGAAGATGCTAATACACGTGGTATTCAAACATTAGATGTTATCAGTAAATATTAAAAAAAAACTAACTTTTTCTTTTTCAATAATAAATTATATTTAATTCAGGTGAATCATCATCACAAATATCGAGAATTACAGATAGATATATTCTTAATGAACATTTGATTAATACATCACGAGATCTTATTACTCAATATGAACGAAAAGCTAAATATGAAAAATTAATTATTGTTTCTCTACTTGTGGTCTTTTTTGCGGTTGCACTTAATATTGTTAAAGAAAGATTACTTTGGTCATATTAATTTATTTATATATATATTTATGAAAAAAAACGTCAACTAATAAATTCTTACATCTATCGTTTTGTTTTTATCACATTGCGCTTATATACTGTCTGTTATTCCATTTGTTCTCTATAATTACTATACACTGCATTATGTATTACTCGATAACAGAAAGAAAAGAAAAAGAAGAAAAGTATTATAGAAGTATTATTTTTTTAACCATTCAAACTTATGAATGTGCAGGCAAAAAGAAGAGAAAGAGAAGACGATTCTTTCATTTTTATTCTCAAATTCTGTCTGCATTGAGAGACACTCGAAACTTCTAAAAAACGAGTAGAAAAAGAAAGGGGGTGAAGGAGCTTTGTATTGTCCATTTCTTTTCTTTGTATTGACTTTCTTTTCAGATGGAAGACAATGATGTGGAAGACACATCTCCATCATCATCTCATCCATTCTTTGGTCGTAGTGGATGTAAGTTAATTTTTTTTATATATGTTTATTCATTATCTTATGTGTCTCTATTGCTTTTCTAATTATAGTTCCTTTTGTATTTCTTCCATCTACACTAACAGGAGGTTTCAATTTTATGAATAATCATACGCATGTTTCTTCGGTCGATGATCAATCAACAACGAAAAAAGAGAATGACGAGAATATAGAAGAAGAAGAAGAAGAAGAAAAAACAGGTATATACATATACATATGCATGAAAGAGAAGAAAGAAAAATTCTTTAATTGAATGCTTGTTCGGCATCGGAGAAATAGAAATGTTTATTTTTATCTTAGAAAGTCTAAAATGAAAACCAATAAATGAAATAGAGAAAAAAAAAACTTTTCGATTTCTTATGTTTTTTTTGTAATACTCTTTCTCTCTCTCGTTTTCTCTCTTAGAAATCAATGGCAATGATGATGGAGATCGAAAGGATGAGAATGACGAAAGTATAGATGAAAAAAGTAATCTTCGCATCAGTCAACCAAAATATAGTCAATTACTAAAAGAACTTGATTTTAGTCAAACAAGAATGGTAAACAAAAAAAGAAAGAAAATGAGACATCATTTTACTATTTTCAAATCTTTTCTTTTTATATTATCAAGGTTGATGTAACAAATCTTTTACCAAATGAACTTGATCAACAAGATACTCAATCAATACAAGATAAAAATGATAATGAAAGTCAAAAACAAACTACAGATGATGAAAAATATCAAAGTTTATCATCAGCACGTTCATCTCTAACTAGTGATGATGATGATGATGATGGATCAAATGCTCAAACATATAATAATAATAATGAAACAGATGAAAATAAATCAAAAGAGAATGAAAATTTTACGAATGCTGTTAATGATATTCAAAATGATTTAAAAAATTTAACTAGTATTATTAATGAAGTATCAACTGATAAAAATAAACAAGAAGCAGAAGATCATAGTTCACAAAAAAAACCTACTTTCGATGAAGAAGATGATACTAGCCGACAAGCAACACAAGATTATGATCTTCATGAGAATGAACAAGAGGTTTGAAAAATGATTTTATTTGTATATATCAACCTTCTATTAAAGAAAGCAGTATATTCTTTTCTTTCATACTTAAAAATCGATTGCTTTTAAATGTTAACAACATTTAAGGAGTTTTTTTTCTTCTATGGCTTCATAATTATACACAAAAAAAATGTCTCGTTCGTTAAGTAACGTTATTGTGTTATATTTATTTAATAGAATGTAGTATCATCATCAAAATCCAATCAAATTCATCATATTGAAAATCAACATTCCAATGACCTTCAAAATAAGAATAAATCTCCTATTTCACAATTAGATACTGATACAAATACTCAAACTGAATCTCAAAAACAAGGCAAAGATGATGAAGAAAAAGAACAACAACAGGAGCAACTAGTTTTTTTCAATTGGCAAAATTTAATGTATGGAAATGAGGATATAACACAACCAATAAATATCATAGAACCTCATGAACCAATTATTGAAACACCAAAAAAACCACAACAATCATTATTATCATCAGACGAGGAATCAAAACCAAGAACAAGTTCACATTTAAAACAAAAAATGGTTCTTCGACCTCGTCCAATAATACCATCTTCATCGTCATCATCAGATACTGATTCTATTGTTGAATATGCATTACATCGATCAAAAGATAAACAAGCAACATCATCCGTACCTAAACAACAAATACCACCACAAACATTAAGACAAGATAGTCAAGCAACATTAATTGATGAAAATCTCGATGAATTAAATAGTCAATTAAAACATATTCCATTTGATCACGAACCACAACATATATTCAGTACATCAAATGTAAAAGAAGAACGAACAACAGATAGAAATGGTCCATCGTCATTTCGAATATTAATACCAGATATACTTTCGACTACTTTTCCTGATAATGATACACCAAATCGAACAAATGAGCATTTACTTCGACATATATCAAATCAACGTATTAATTATAATCCACAACGTAATCGACATACATTCCATGCTCCGGAACGTTCAAGTTCACAACGGAAAAAAACTTCTCATCATCAACATCAACCTCAACAAAAATATTCATCATCACGTCATATTGACCGTACTGAAGAACATACTCCACGAGATTCAAATGTAAATATTAAGATTTTTCTATAATATCATATATATTCTATTATTAAATAGGATGATTGGTTAACTATGCTTGAAAAACTTGAACATGAACATAAAACACGTATAGAACAACAGAGAAAACAATATGAAGATTACATGCATGGTCTTGAAGAAAAAATGAAACGACGCTATGATGATTATCTAACATTAACAAATAAGTAAAAAAATTCTTTGCTATTTATTTGTCTTGTATTAAAACTATTTTTTTTTTCTCTAGTTCTCAAGAATCAAAATCAGATGATTATGATAATACAACGCATGCATATCATGCACATACATCAATGCCAACTGATTCAAATATTGGAAAATATAAAAGTCATTCATATAATCAAACATATCGACCAACAGCAACAGATCTTGTTTCTCATTATTATCCAGCTGATTCAACACTGAATGTTCTTACAACAGAAAAAAGACGATCAACTATTAGTGATAGTGTACCACTAGCAGAATCAAGAGAAGATATTACAAAGTAAATATATTTCTATGGCAAAAAAATAATAAAAAATGTTAAAATATTAATATTATACAATATTTTAAAATGAATATTGACATGAGGAAGGACACCCTTTAAAATCCATCGCTGTTCTAATATATGCATAGAATTTGCTATATGATATTATTATTATTTATCTTTTAGTCTTCGAACACACCTTTCTGCTAGACATGCACGACAAGTTGATGATTTAAAATTACGTTATGAATATGAAATCAATGATCTTAAAAGTCAATTGAATCGAACAAAATTAGGGTAAGATTGTTTTTGCTTTTTTTTCAATGGTTTCTATTTTTTTTCAATAATAGTAATATATCAAGTACTACTCGACAATCAATTGGAACAATCGAACGAATTAATAATGAAAATATTCGTTTACGTGATGAACTCAATGGATTACGTCATTCATTAGTTAGTTTACTATATCAATTATACAAACGTAAAGAAACTTGTTTTGTATTTTTAGAAAGTAGCAGAAGATGAAAATGCTGTATTTAAAAGACAATTAGAAGAGTTACGTGAACAAATAAATCATAAAGATCTTGATCTTAAAAATTATCATCGTACAGTCGCTGATCTTGAAAGACAATCAAATGAAGCAGCCAATGTATGTAATTTATTTATTTATTTTAGTAATTGTTCAAATAAATAGTTTCTATTTAAAATGAGTGTTTAGTCAATATTTCTTTTCTTTTCTTTCTAGACAAAAGAGCGACAAAATGAAAAGCTACGTCATGCAGACAGACAAGCATCACTTTATCGAGAAGAAAATGAAAAACTCAAGATTGATCTTAATCGTACAAGGGTAAATCAATCATTTAATTTATTTGTTTTGTTTTTTTCTCTCACCTTGAATAAATTTCAATGGATAATTTAATTTCTTTTGTTTAGGAACGTATTCTTCGACTAGAAGAACGTTCTCGTGAACAAGAAAATGAAAATGAAACACTTCGACGACAAATGTTCTTATTAGAAAATGATAATAATCGAATAAAAAGCCGGTATTGATTGAAAGAAAAAAAAAAACGTTTCTTTTTATTCTTCATTGTATTTAAAGAATGACTGATGATCATAAATTAAATTCATCAATACCTATAAATGTAACATCACCAAGAGAATATACGCATTTTTCAATACCTACAACAGTAACAAGACATTCATCATCAACAATAAGTACACCAAGAGATGGAATTATTGATTCAGGAAGATATCAGTCAAATGGTAAGAACTTCAAAATTGAAAATATTTATTTTATATGTCTATATAGATACAGGGACTGTTTATCATCATACTCATACACCACGAACGATAACAAGAATTAGTGATTATCTTAATGAAAAATCTCCTTCTAATCAATCATATGTATCTCCAACAAGTAAAATAAATTTAAGAGATTTAATAGAATTTTCTAAGATCTATTTCTAGAAACATTTTATTCTCCAAAAAAATCTTCACCAAATCGTCGTCGTACAGAATCAATACCAAGAAGGGTAAATCATTTTCTTTTCATTCTTAAATTTATTTATTTTTTTTTTGTTATTATTTTGTTTAGAGTTCAGTTGATAGACAAACAAAACAAACGGAACAATTAGAACAAAAATTCGACCAATTATTAAAGAAAAAACGTGATTTAGAAACACGTCTTAATCGTATACCAACTCGAGGTTTAACAAATACTGATCAACAATTATATGATGTACTTGAACGAGAAATTGAACGTGTTGATCAACAAATCATAGGCGTTAAACTTGATCTTCGAAAATCCAATACATTACGAATACATTAGATAAAATACATTCCTTTAGTATACCATTCAATCATCGGTGTCAACTTCTCAATTTTGTTTTTTTAAAAACAATCTCTTTCCGTCCAATTATTTACTTTTTCTTTTTTCCAATCGTTTTTGATTATATAGATTGACGTTTGTTTTTTTTTCTTTCTAAATTAAATAGTGAATTTACATGTGTATTTTTTTTAAAAAATATATTAGCAATTCCTTTCTATATTTCAAACATTAAACAATACATTTGATAACAGTATTGTATGTTTTATCTTTTCTTTCTTTTGTTTTATATCCTCCAGATAGATAAATGATGACAACAACAGCAATATGGGAAATGCCTGAATTTTATCATTTAGATAATGAATTTTTTCGACCACAAGAAAAAAAACAATTACAAAATGCCTATGAAAATTTTATAATGAATACAAAATGTAAACCATTTAATCATACTGATAATTTAGATGATGAAGAAAATGCACAAATGTTATTACAATCAAAAATTCAATTATTTCAATTATTTGTTCGTACACAACCGGTTAATATTCGTAGTTTTAGGTAGAAATGAATATATACCTTTTATCAATTGAAATATTCTTTTTTCCTTTGTCTTCGCTTAGTCTATATCATCAACAACAACAACGTATATTTGTTGAACGTTTATTTTATCTTGTTTTAAATAATGTTGAATTAACACATTTTTCAACATTTAATGTTAATTCGATAATAAGTATAAGTAAAGAATTAGAAAAATATCAACGTTCAACAAATAAAACTATATTAAATACTGGTAAACTTAATACAGTTGTCCAATTTGTTTTATCATTTTCATCATCAAGTATATCATCATTTCAATTAAATAATCTTTTCTATTTATTATTAAATGATATGAATGATTTTTCCGGAAAAATTATTGATCGTATTGCTGAATTATTACGTGTTTATCATTCAATGACATATGGACATACAATTTCAAAACAATATTTAATTACAACAGTAAGTAAGAAGTCACGTTTAAATTATCTTAAAGTCAATTCTTAGAAAATTTACTAGCTCTTTTTTTCTGTTGCAAAATAATTTCCAAGAGTTAAAATAAGTACAAAACTCTATTAGTGCGACAAATGGAGACCTGGAAATGTAATCCTATAAGATCTATTTACAGCTAGCTTATTGCGTGCTTAAGAAGATTATAACTAGATTTTAATATGACATGCTTAGACTTTTTTTTCTTATAAAAACACGATCAGTTTTGTATAAAGTGTCAAAAGAAAACTCATATATATAATTTTGAATTTTTCATAAATTTAGATTGATAATGTAATAAGCACGGTTAATTTTACAAATCCTCTTATCTATTCATTATATGAAAATTTTCTCAATTCATCTTATGTTTACAAAGGTCCACTTATATTAACATTATCGAAAAAAATAACATGTATTTCATTATATACCATCATTCAAAATTTATCAATTACTCTATTAGGTATAACATATGATGATTTTGAATGTGAAGATAAATTTCTTTCATTTACATCTGAACAATGTTATCATACACGTTTAATTATACGTCATTTAACATATCTATTTAAACAATATCATTATATATTAGAATATCCATTAAATAATCTTAATAAACAAATTATTATTCAATTAATTAATTCAATTATATTTAATGAACAAACTTATGATAGATTAAAACATCTACTTGATTTATATATGAAATATGTTCATGGTTTTTCACATATTAAAATAAAACGTCTTCTATATGATTTATTAATAAATTCTTCATTTGAATTATATGCAATTGAAACAATTGGAGATTTTCTTGAATTTAATCGATTTGAATCAAAATTAAATTTAACTGAAAATAAAAATACGGAAGATGATTTATGGCTTAATAATGAACAAATTCGACTTATTCTACATAAATTATATTCAAATAATATATATAATGAAATATTTCTACCATTTATTAATGGAAATTATCGTGAAGAACAAACTCTTGATGATATATTGAATTATCTTGATAATAATATTGAATGTGTACAAGAACAAGTCATTGATGTGCAAGATATGAAAATTAAATTAACAATATTACCATAAATCTTTCATTGTTTACTTCTATATATTAAAAAAAAAGAATTTAAATGAACTCAGGGTTTTTATTCGCTAGATATTTATGTATATAAAATTATTGACTTTTGTTTCTCTCTCATCTTTTTTTTTCTTTCTTTTGAACTGCTATTTGAACATGTATTGGTGTTTTGATTTATATATTCTATATTATGAAAATAAGATCATAAGGAATGATTTAATAAAAATTTACAATAAAACAAAAATTCTATAAGCTTCAGGCATTGGACAGAAAAATTATAAATAATATATTTAAGTAAAACATAAGACAGATGCTTATACTGTCTTAATTAAACGATATAAGAAATTCTAACCAAGGATTTTATTCATGCATACAAATATAAAATCTCATTATCCATCTTTATTATGATCACTGAATAAGTTTTACTTTTCCGGAAATACATTTTCTTCTTGTCTTCAATTTTCTAGTAAATAATTGATAAGTAGGAATATTTTCCATTATAGGAAAAAAAATCTTGAATTTATACTTTCAAAAAAAAAGACATTCTATTCTATTACCAACAGAATACTTAGTAATTATGAACAATCTTTATAATTATTGACAATTCTGTTTTTTTCCTTTTATGTATTATATTGAAATCATACGTAATAGTCTCAAAATATTATTGTTATTTAGTAAATAAAGATTCAGTGAACCTATACAAAATATGACTGTACAAAAAAAATAATGATGAAAACATACATAGATTTATATGATTAATCGTAGGCAGATGACAAAGGCAAATAAATTAGTATGACATACTTTGTTATATACTGTCGGATAAAATATTAGTTTAGCTGACTTGTTTTTTTCAATTCGAAAACAATTTGCTTTTCGATTATATTTCAAACAGTTAATATTACTTAATGTCAAAGAGTTATATTTATTCAAGGAAAGAACTGTGAGTACAACAAGTAGGTAAATCTTTTGCCGTCTATAAAGATTTATGATTAATCGCTACCGATGAATAATCATGATTTATGTCTTCGTTTCAATATCATATTATTTTACTTCGGATTTTTTTGTTTTTCTTATATTTGTATTCTTTATACAGCCAATATTATCTTTAAATAATAAATGAATATCACCGATATATACATAACTTGCAATGCAAATAAAGTCTAGTAGAGTTTTTCTCTTATTTTTATGAAACATGTCAATCATTATTTAACCTAGATTTATATCTTGGAAGAAAAGCTTTTAAAAAAACATCTGACAAATTCTTGTTATTCTCATAACATTTCATTTTAGAAATATTAAATATTCTATTTGATTAATATATGAATATGTAATAACTGAGAAGAAAATACTCCAAAGTTCAAAACAATTTTGTCTTGAAAATAAAAGAAAGAATCATATATTTTTTTTCCTTTCTTTTCTTTCCTATGTTTTCTTCATCCTATAACTTCACCACAAAAACATAAAGAAGTTCCCGATGTTGTTCATCATTAACTTCCGTTTCCATGTCTTCCCTTCTTTCTTTTTTTTTCTTTAATCTCACCACAAACAACCACCATCAGCCGGTCTTAATAATAATGTTAGAGTGCATTGTGTGTGAGAGAGAGAGACATAGGCAAAGGGAAGAAGAAAAAAAAAGAAAGACGAAAAAACCTCTGATACTCGTGATGAGGGTAATGATAATAATATTGACAGCGGTTTTTTCTTTTTTCCATCTATCTAATCTTACTCATCATACTTTTATGTCTTTTTCCCCGGCTGTGTCTACGTACACTAGATAAAAATATTTGCACATTCCTCATGTTCATTTATCGATTGAGACTATAATAAAAGAGAAAAAAACATGACAATTTACATATATTATTTACATATTATACATAGTTTTCTTTCTTTTCATTTTTATTTTGACAAAAATTGTCAGACATTAAAAATTATGTTTTTCAATGCCAAGCTTAGTTGCTATAAACATTCATAGGCACACCTACGTAAATAAACGATTCCATGACGTCATGTTTTCTGTTTTGGTAAATACTCGCAAAAACACAGCAACTCACGCGCTTCACTATTACCACAAAGAGAAAACGAGAGGGAGAGAGAAGAAGAAGAAGAAAAAGAAAGAGAAAACCGACGGGTAAAAGAACTGAATAAAGAAAGCTTCAGCCAATAGCTAAATCTACAAAAAATCTATATTTATGTTGAGAATGAGATGATACTATGAAGTTTTCTCAATGCGTCAATAAAGTATGTATTGAAGATTCTTTTTTTTTATATAAAATATAACAAAAGATTTGTCCGATAATTGATACATTTTGTATTTTCATTAGTGGCAGCAATTGTTCGACCACAAAGAAGAAGGAACACATTACAATTTTTTAGCGTCGTAGAAAGCAAAAGGGAGGGGGAGACAGAGACAGAGAGAGAGAGAGAGAGAAGGGAAAGGAACGTGACACGGCGTCAACGGCGAAGAAAGAAAATATGCGATGGTTTGAGAAGGAACAAATAGGAGGGTGATGGGGGGTGAGAAAAAATATATTGTAATGTAAAGGGAAAGAAAACCATCATATTACATGAGATGAGAAACCATATATTTCATTCAACATTACATGATGATATAAAAAAAGAGATGATCATAGTTCAGTTTCTTATAAAAACTAATATGTCTGTAATAGTGTAATATCATAGGAATCTATTTTCTAAGTTGTATCTTCTTTTAGTTCGTTACATACGCACTAGCAATACAACTTTGACAGAACAGAATAGACATCATTGTGTCATGTGCTCGATGCTTCTCGTTCTTTTCATCTTTTTCATAGATTGTGCAATATGACAAATTTTTCTTTTCTTGTTTTTTTTCGACATACCCCTTACATAATATAGTCGAACTATAAATATATAGAGACGCAATCACGAGTTATATGTGTCATAGTTTATTAATACGTAAAATATTTTACCTCCTTTGTTGATTAACGCAGAAAAGTAAATTAGTTTATCTAACTTATACTTTCTCATTTTAAATATATTAAACATATCGTGTTTTCGTTTATCTTATTTTTTTTTATTGATTACAAGTATCTATTTCATTTTTAGGTCACATGACCTAATTTATTGAATTTTTAAAACACATTACTTACATATATATAAATATTGTACATACGAAATTATTCGTTAAAAATGGCTTATGAACGACGACGTTTATCAACAGAAAGTGATAGATCATCAACAAGTACGAATCATTCATCAGAATCAAATACAGCATACAACGCTGTTTCACCAACTATTGTTCATCCAATCATTCCTACTGACCAGAAATTATCTATATTAACAATAAAACAACAACCCATAAATATCCCAAAAAGAATTTCAGTGACAGGTTCACCAGCTGAACAAATATTAGCACGTACAAAAAATACATTTTTTGATTTAAATCCCTACTTTCAATGTTCATCATTACCAACGTAAGAATTATTTTTATGAATTTTAAAAATAATCTTTTTTGTTTTTCTTTCAGACATTGGAGAAAAAATAAATCACTTCGATTTATTATACGTGCAAAACAACAAATAGATATAAAACAAAATACACGTGTTATTCTTCTTGCTGGTAATGATTATAATCCATGTGCAGCACTTAAAAACAATATTAGTTGGTTTCGAAGTGGTCAAGCAGAATTTAATGATTTACGATTTTTAGGCGCTAGTGGAAGAGGTTAGAAAATACAAAAAAAAAATTTTTTTAGTTATTTTTAAATAATAAACAATGAATGTTTTATTTAGGTAAAAAGTTTACATTAACAATAATTATTGAAACAACTCCACCGCAACAATGCACTTATCGTCGTGCAATCAAAATAACAGTCGATGGTCCAAGAAAGAAACGTGAATTGAGTAAGTTTCGATTTTATTTTTTTCCAAAAATATTTCAACATACTTCATGTGTTTTTTTTAGAAAGTAAGTCAGATGGGAATGAAATGCAAGCAGACGATTCGAATGGTGAAGGTGAATCGGATTATGAAACAACTACTTCAACGTCAATTGAAACAAAATCATCCATTAGTCAAGGATCATCTGGATTGCTATTACTTGCTGCTGCAGCTGAGCAAAAACGAAAAGATGAAGAAGGTAAAAATTCTTTTATTTTATTTTTATTTTCAATAAATTATAGAACTTTCTTTAGTTGATCCACATAAACGTCCATTTCAATCGGCTCCAATGCTAATAACAAATCCATCAAAATTAAGTGATACAAGTTTTCCAATAATAAATTGTCTTTCTCCATCATCATCATTAGCTTCACGATTTTCTCAATCCGTAGCTTTTTCTCCTACATCATCATCACTCGATGATTTGAATTCTCGTTTATCACATCATACTCTTCTATCTAATCAAAATCCTGATAGAACAACAGTTCCATTAATATCAAGTTTACCAACATCAAATTTAATATTTAGTATATCACAAACACCAAATCATTATGAATATTTTAATCCAAAACAAGAAAGACATGATCAACAACCTGTTGTTCAACCAACAAATACTAATACTTCATCAACAACTACAACAACTACACATGTATTATGTCGATAAAAATAAAATCTCAATATTATCGTTCATATATACATATATATTCATTTATAGCTTCAAGCAGCAAATGATAACTGAAAAAAAACGAAACTAATTAAACTAGGTGCGTGTATTTTAAATATGTTACATGGATATAATATCAAATTCGATTTTATCTTTCAATCAGTTGATATTTTTCTTATTTATCAACTGATTGAAATTTCTTCTATTTTTTACATTCCCTTCTCCTCTCTATCCCTCGAAAGACGAGAACGATTGTTAACAATTTGATTGCTTGGAGAAAACTTTTATAGTAATTGATTCACTACCCATGCTGTGCACAGAAAAAAAAAGACTTATTTTTTTAAAAACATTTTTTTTCTCTTGTTTTGTATATAGTATAAGAGTGAGTGGCACCAACCTAGTCTGTAAAACAAAACACACTGTTTACATTGTACATAGTTTGTTTACGTGTATATATGTATCTGTGAGTAGAGTTTAAAGTCAGATCGCGCTTGTTTGTTTGTTCGGACTCTCGATATATGAGAACATAGGAACACCAGCATGTGCCTATGGGCAATATACATAAGACGTAGAAGGAAAATACTTTTGAATGACGGAAGATATATGTTGCTATTGTATTTCGTCTTTCGTGCAATACTGATGAAAAGAAAACCTATTTGATTCATTTTTTTTTTATTTCTTGACACTATATTTCATATTAATCCGGTGTGTGTGTATTGTATTGTTTCTTTCGTCTTTTTTTTGTTTTGTTTTTGTTTAATGTGGTATGTACATGCGTGAAAGAGAACTGTATTCCAACGTGGTTGATTTGTTGATGCTGATACCCTTTATTTCTCTATCTATTATATATATATATATAACTTATTTTTATTCTACTTCTTTTCTTTCAACAAACAATCAAGGGTTTTTTTTATCAAATAAAACCTCATGTTTATGTATTTTCGTTTGTTTGTCACGTATGTTAAGCGATTTATCTGTGGTGTTCGAAGAATGTATGTGAATCTCATCGGATTTAATTCTTGACAACAAAAATGTTATGTCATGTATATGTTTTGTAATTTAAACTTAAAAGTTTCGTGTCCATAACAATAAAAAAAA